CAGTTTTTACATGAATATAATAATAATATAACGTTAAGCACCAAAACTTGACACAAGAATCAGATAATTCCCTAAAAAATGAACAAATGAAATTACAAGTTTACAGCGCTGGACCTTTGCGTGATATAATAGTCTGCCTCACATTTCCCCATGGGGATCAATAAAGTATACATTATTATTATTATTATTATCAAAGATAACCTTGAAACTGGCCTTACTGGCTTGTATAGTGAGACAATAACAAAGATTGTTATGGCTGTCTTCTCCCAACACAAACGTGGCAGTTTGCTCCGAATCCTCCTTGTTCAAGCCACGTCCGCTTACTTCCTCGACCTCCTATCTGCTCTTTTTCCTGGACTCAGAGAGACATGGACACAAAAACACCCTGCACAGCCTTGATTATCTAATGTTTTTATTCATTGTTCTTCTGCTTATTTTAGGTCTGGTTCAGGATATCTTGTTCGGACTCTCTGACACAGAGACCTATTATAAACGCTGTCAGTGTGTGTAAGCGTGTTGCAAAATACCCCTCTGCGCTCAACGTCCACTCTTCAATATTTCAGATCCAGACAATAATGCTGAATGAAGCTCTTTACTCTCAAAACATGGAGTGCCAACTTATTTATGAGCACAACTGCATTGTGTATAAATAACATAATTAAAACAGCTTTATTTAATAGAAAAAAGAAAAATGTTCAACCCTAACAGTCCCTCCTTATACATGTATTTTACATGTGAACAAAAGAGCATGTGTCTCGTTCAGCCTGCCATCCTACAGGTTACCTTCTAGTGTGATACTTATTTTGTGTTATATAAATAAAACTGAATTGAATTCAACTGAATAGAACACAGCAGAGTGCAGCTCGTGGTAGAGACCAGTTTACAAGTTCAAATAAATCTTTATTGTTTTACTAATTTAAAGCAAACTTCGTTAACTATAAGAGTCATTCATTTCCCTGCAGGAAGAATTGATGACCAGAAACAAGAGTATGAGAGATGCCAACAACAGAAGAAACGCAGGAAAATAGAAGATGAGACGAGGCGGCAGGCAGCGCTGGACCGGAAGAGGACAATCCAAGAGCAGATTGAAAAGGAGAATAAAAAACTGAGGGAACTGCTTTCTGAAGCACACGACAGGCTTCAGCTGGAGCTAAACCTCAAAGCCCAGGAGCATTACCACCAGCAGCACTCTCAAGTCCTGCATGAGCTTGTGGCGGAGGAGCACGGAATAGCAAGGGATGAGGTAGGGTTGTAAGCTAACATCTTAATCTTTTTGGAAATGTAAATGTAACCCATGTAAATGCATTTGAAACAAGGGTGAGTTAGGTGGGGCGTGCAGGTATTTGAAGTTTTTGATTTTAAACCAATGATCGTCAGGACCAGGTCAGGTGATTGC